TTTAAGTTATGACTATTTTAGAAAATAGGCCAATTTCTGAAAAAAATTCATGCATAACCCATGCTTTTTTGATGAAATGGCTCCTAAATCACAATTTATATTACATTTTCTGATACATATTGATGTACTTATGCTGTGTAGAAAGTTTGAGCTGATTCCGACTGAAATTTTCGAGCTATGCATAGGTCAATTTCTGAATATTGCTTATTTCCAAAAAATGACTCCGAAATTATAACCCTAATTTATATTGCATTTTCTGATGCAATGGGTACATACTGATGTCCTCATTGCAGAATATTTTGAGCTGATTCAGTCATAGTATTCATTATTACAGTCAAATCTCATTAACTACTTTTATGGCAGGTTTCAATGTTGATATGTTAACTAAAGCAGTAGCTCTATCATCAAGACAAAGACAAGAGCTACTAAGACAAGTAGAGCATACTAATAATAACTAATAATACTCTATTACTCTATTCCTCAATACATGTATACAGTTTAAATGCACTCCAGATGGGTTCTGTCTCCACAGTTTCTGTGATAAAGGAGCATGGGCTGATCCTGCTCTTCGTCCAGTACTTGAGTATTGTGGATACAGACTGCTTAATGGTCACATACAGTTCAGAGGAACCAATGATAGGAATGTAATGGGTAGAGATGTGATCAGGTCTACCACAATGGCTGTACTTGCTGTTGATATTATACTACATAAAGACACTGAAGGAACAATATTATAATAATGATAATAACAACAACAATAATAATGAATTAATTGTTGATTTGCATGTTTTTATAGATCCATGTATCATAATTAGAATGCAGTTAATTAATGCATGTATAATAATTACATGCAATTCATTTCTCATTGACTTAAAACTCAAATAATAGTAAATGCATTGTACCAAGAGTAGTAGAATACATAATTTATGTACTCTTGATTATCCCTGATTATACATTTTGATGATGATTAGATCTATGATGTAACAAATTATAGTGATCATAGAAGGGCGTTACCTCCAAACAAAATGGCAGCCAAAGCACCAGGTCAATATTTTGTTTATACTTGATTGTGACTCGTGTGTTGTTACTATTAGTGTAGCATTCAGTTACTGTTACCTCTTGTTATCTATAGACTATCAACCAGCGGAGAGGAGCAGACACTCCACTGTACGGGTAGGAGACTACCTGTACATGTGTGGTGGGGTCCAGCCTGGTCTCCCTAAAGTACATAATAATGAAAAGAAGAAATCAATGTGTTCTGTGATGGAGGTGTGTCATGTAAGGACTGGTAGGTGGGAGCAAAAACCCACCACTGGTAACGCTCCACTGGGTGTTAGGGGCTATGCAGCTGCTGCCATTGAAAGGGAAATATTTTATTTCGGAGGCTATTGTAATCATGATTACTGTTATCATAATAGTTTATACAGGTAAACATAATAGTTTATGGTATGTGTAATTGTTACATAATATTTATACAGTTTTAATGTTGATACCTTCAACTGGAAGGAACTCTCTCCTACTACATCTCATCATGGTCCTATGATGAAGCACCTCTGTGACATGATAGCAATAAAAGTGAACGGTGAGGACTATCTTGTAGTAATTGGAGGATTGGGACCATCTTCCAATAATACACCCAACCAACCTGGTACCCAGTACAGTAAATTTCGTTCTAGTCGGCAACGATGCAATGAGGTCCATTTCTATAAACTCTCAACAGGTTAGAGCACATACATTTTATATAATATATATAGCATTGGTGGCAGTGCTCTATGGCAGATTCTGTATAGCAGGAAATTTTGGAGGGGCTAAAATTTGCTGAATTGCTAAATTTTGGTGATTGGCGAGTTTCGTTTTGGCAAATTTGTGGCCATGTGCCATTGCGTATGCGTATAATCGCT